TCATCCAGCTGTACGCCTGGTTATCTCACTGGCTGGGTTGACCGATTTCTAACCTGAAGGATATTCATGAACCAATTCAGTTTTTACTTAAACCCAGCGCCTGTTGAGTTCTTGAGAGTGCAAACAGTCCTTAGTTTAACAATTCACCTTTGGAACTGAATTAGCCTATCTGACTTCTTACTGCCATCCTGGAATGGGACTTGAAGCCATCAGCACCTGACTGCGGCAAAGTGCTGTCAAACATGGAATTGTGAAAGCGATGAGCATGAAGCTGAATAGTACCAACACATTCATTGATCTTGCAGAGCAAATAGAGGTTTGTTAGATGAAGGTCCAGGATTAAATGCCTGGTTTTTGTTGAGTTAGCTCAAATTGGTTCCAGTAGCAATTCGAGTAGTGTTACCATTGCCCTTGACATGATCGGGTATGGAGGGGAAAAAAGATAGTTGAGATCTTGACTCTTGGTGGCTCTCCAGTGATCCTTCGCCTCCTGCAAAGGTATTGGGCTGCAGTGACCTCAAGACTGAAGAGGTCACTGACATTTGCCTGAGACACACTCGTAGTGCATAACTTTCACAAATTCCTGATGGGGAACCCGTGCCGTGAGCTAGCAGGAAGTGATGCTTTCAGAAAGATAGCATTCGTGAACAAAAATCAATGTGCAAAATAAAATAAGAATACAAATTGTATTTGGTTGCCAGTTGTTAACCTGTAAACAAGCTGTTCAGGTGGAGATTTAACAAGGTTAATCTTCCACTTCACATATTTTAAAATGTATCCTTGGCACTTTAGAAAAGTATATGAATGTTGCATGCTACAATGAGGTTTACAAATCATTGTAAAAATTCTGCTTGACCTCACTTTCCTGTTTTTGCTAAGCTGATTAAGCCATTCAATAGTTTAGTGCCATGACAAGAACCGTGCAGCTCAAGATATTCCTGAAAGGCATGGTACCAAAACGTCAGTGGTAGCTCCTACCATCATAAATGCTCAAGACATTTGGAAACACTGCTACTATTTCCCCATCAATGATCTCCAGAAAACTAAGGTTACAATGTTGTTTCATTTAGCCAAAATATAAAAAAAAGATAATACGTGAGGTTATGATGTGTTTTGGAAGGGAGTTTGCATGGTGGATTGTCGAATTGTCAAGAAACTGAAGGCATAGTGGTGTGAAGGGGCAAAGGGTGTTATGAAGAAGAAAGATGCTAGAGGCAGAGAGATGGAGATTTTGCAGAGCTGCAGGAAGTTACAGGTGCAAGGGTTGTTAAGGCCATGAAGTCATTTCAACATGAGGTGACGATTTTATGCTGTAGTGTTGCGGTGAAGTTGGGGCATAGGGAGTCAGGAACTATAAGCAACATTAACGGTAAGGACAATCATTGAAACGCAGTGGGTGCAGGATAGGATATGACCTCTTTTCCTTGTGTTAGTACTTCCTAAAATTATGTAAGGTAATGTTAGCTCTTAAGTGAACTAATTTGAGCTAGCTCATGATCCCTGTTTTGGTTTGAGGCATGGTGATTTATTATAATTATCATGTTTTTGTTCCCGAACACTTTATTGTATTATTTGTAATTGTTGTGGATACTAAAAGCCTTTCGTAATGGAGAGAAATGTATGCCTCTGTTTACATAATTTGTGCTGTTGGAAGGATCTAACTCCTTGTACATTAACTCGGGTTCCCAGTCATTCTCCCCCACCCTGCTCCTACATCCTATGACTGATCTTGTCTGTTAGTTACAAAACTATCATTTTTTTTCCTGATTATTCCACTGATCAGTTTCCTTTTGATCACATTACATGGGTGTATGCAAACTCAAATCTTATTGCGTGCAGTAGCTGTCTTGTTACATCTTGATCTCTCGGCCTTTGGCAAGGAAAGCTTCGTGCAATTATCCAAAAACATAACTTAGTTTCTTTCTCACATCTAACTACCAAGTAGCACTGTAGTTATTCCAGCCTGAGTCATTCTTCATTACAAAACAAACCTTATAAATAAGTGTGTTTCTACAGTGGCTTTTATCAGAATGTTTCAGCGCTTCAGAATATGAGATTATTTTTGAAGAAAATGGGCAGGGATTTTGGATAACTCTGTCATCTCTAACTAATAGAATTTCTACATTTCCCCAATAGTAAGGCTGCCTCTAAGAAGCTTGGTAATCTTCTTTACCACAATCATGCAATGCTGAAATCAAGACTGATTGGACTGCATTCCACATTAAAGTATTCTCTCCTGCAGATTCAGGGAAGATAGTTACCTCCAGGTCTGTCTTTGTAAAACCTCCAAGCTTTATAAAATTTGAGCTGGTTGTCATTGGATTACTATTTAATGATGTACTTTGTCTTCTCTCATATTATTTTGAACCTTCATGTTGTGTAGACTATGGGTTGGCCTGTCACCTTTCCTTATCCCAAAAAAGAGCTGTTTTCTACATGACGTGGAAATGCTTGAGATTAGTTAGTGATATGTGGTTAATAAATTACATTTCAAAGCATTGATGTGACATAGTTTAACGAGCATGAAAAGAATAGTAGGAGTCTAATTGAAGTGTTTGCTTTTGTTAGTCTTTTCCTTATCTTAACCCCAACAGCCCAACACTCATGTCCCCACTCTCCCCAACCCCCCCACCTCAACACAACATAACCCCGACCGCAAGCCCTTCCCACTCCATACACACATGTGCATGCACGCCCCCCTGACACCCACGCACACCACTTCCTCCTACTGTCAGGATTGACACTACACAGCACTTGTATTTCACTCAAAGGCTGCGAGATGTTTGGACTTCTCTTTCACAAATGGCAATTGATGTCAAATGAGTTGTAACCTTTAAGTTGGAGATTGATAGATTTTTGTTATCAGATGTATTGAGGGATGTGAACTTGGGTTACCAATCAGCCATAACCTCTTTAATTGGCTGAATATATGTCCAGTGACTCATTGTCACCGACTAGAAATGTTAACTGTTTTTTTTTTACCACAGATGCTGCCAGACCTGCTGAGTTTCTCCAGCAATTTCTGTTTCTGTTTCAGATCTCCATCATCTCCAGTTTTTTTGTTAGATTTTAGTATTCCATCACACTCCTGACTTGTGCTGTCTATAGGATTCCTAACCTCTGACCTGTCCTTATAGTTACAATAGTCCAGTTCAGTTTCTGATCATTGGTAACCTCCACGATGTTGATAGTGTGGCATTCAGTGTTAGTAATCCATTGAATATCAAGGGGTGATGGTTAGGTTCCCTGTTGTTGGAGATGATCATTTTGTGTCACTTATGTAGCCCAAATGTTACTTGCTACCTGTCAGCCCAAGTCTGGATGTTGCTCAGGTCTTGTTGCATTCGGATATGGACTGCATCAGTATCTGAAGAGTAATGAATAGTTCTGAACGTTTTGCAATCGTCAGCGAACATCTCCATTTCTGACCTTATGATGGAGAGAAGGTTATTATTTGAGCAGCTGAAGATGTTTGGGCCTGGACAGTACCATGAAGATCTTCTGCAGAGATGTCCTGAAGCTGAGTTGTCTGACCTCCAACAGCCACAATCATTTTTCTTCTTACAAGATATGACTCAACAGTGGAGATCTTTCCCGCTGATTCCCATTGACTCCAATTTTGTTTGAGCTGTTTGGTGCCACACTTATAAAATGCAGCATTTATGTCAAGGTCAGTCATTCTCCCCTCCCCCCTGGATTTGAGCCAATTTCTTCATGTTTTGCCCAAGGCGTTAAAGAAGTCCACATCTGAGTGGCCCTGGTGGAACCCAAACTGGGCATCACTGAGCAGGTTATTGCTGAGCAGGTGCAGCTTGATAGCGCTGTTGATGACACCTTCCATCACTTTACTGATGATTGAGAGTAGACTGATGGGACGATAATTATTTTGTTGGATTTGTCCTGCGTTTTGTATGCAGAACTTACCTGGACAGCTTCTACATTGTTGGATATTTGCAAGTATTTTAATTTTACAGGAACAGCTTGACTAGGAGCACAGTATGTTCTGTAGCACATGATTACAGCACTGCTGCCGAAATGTTGTCAGGTCCCATAGCTTTTTTTCTATATCCTGTGTCTCTGCTATTTCCTGAGATTATGTGGAATGAGTCGAATTGGCTGAAGACTGGCACATATGGTGCTGGGGACTTCGGGAGGGGGAAGAGCAATGGGGTTATGCTGAACTTACATAATTCATTATTGACACATTTGCTTGAGTATTGCAGGCAATTCTGGCTGCCGTACTTCAGGAAAGATGCGTACACAATTTGGGTGAGTGCGGACAGTTTATGACTGTGGTTCCAGTGTTGAGGAACTTCAGCTATGAAAATAAATTTGAGGCTTTGGGATTCCTTTCCTGGAAAGGGGAGGGCTTGAGAGAAATTTGATCAGAATTTTCAAAATCCTGAGGAGCCTGGACAGGGTAGATAAAGACAAACTGTTTCCAATTGTAAAATGATTGAGAATGAGGGGGCACAGATATAAAGCATTTTGCAAGAGAAGCAATGTGAGAAATAAATCTTGTCCATGCGGTGAATTGTTAGGGTCTGGAATGTGCTTCCTGGGAGTATGGTTGGAGGCATGTTCAACTGAGGCATTCAGGAGGGCATTGGATGGTTATTTGAATGGTTACAATGTACATGGTTAGAGGGGAGAAAGCAGGAAAATGGCAGCAAGCCTTCCTTGCTATGTTAGCTCTGTGATCCTGAATGTATAAAAATGTAATCCAACAATATTTTTTCCTTTCCTTTCCTTTCCTATTGCAAGGAAAACAAAATCTCTCAAGTCTTTACCTGATTGTGGTTAGAATAATGAACTTGGTTATGTGTACAGTAGTTGACGTGAATAGCACTCAATAGTTTTAGGAGTAACTTTTAAATATGTAAGGGGAGAAATAAATGGGAGGTGGTGCTTGATGGGGTTAGATGAAGTAAGTGAGGAGGGAATGATTTTGTGTGCAGCATGGACATTAGTATTTGTCAGGTGGGTCAAGTATCCTGTTTTTATTTTATTCGAGGTAAATGCTAGAGGTAGAATCAAATTGCCATGTGTCTCAGGTTCACTAAACTTAAGTTTACGTTGAGGTAGTCCTGTGCTATACATGCTACCTGAGGAGAGGGTGCAGAACTGTATAAAATTAACAATAAAAGAAGGAGAGTATGACAAGAACACTGGTTTCTAAAACTAGTTGAAAAAAAATTGCAAGTACCAAAACCATTGCTGATATGAGCTAACAAACATGGAAAATATGACAAGCAACAGTGTGTCAGTGGGTCTTGTGGCATAATTGTAGTGGCCCTATGTCTGAGCCAGGAGACC